AAAAGGTAAAGCGATTTTTTTAAAGATTATAGCTTTTTTTATCGTTCCGCTTATAGAGTAATTTAAAAGTTGAAAAAGATAAAAAATTGCCTTACCAATATAGCTAACGGTATATATATATATATATATATATATATATATATATATATATATATATATATATATATATATATATATATATATATATATATATATATATATATATATATATATATATATACATATATATATATATATATATATATATATATATATATATATATATATATATATATATATATATATATATATATATATATATATATATATATATATATATATATATATATATATATATATATATATATATATATATATATATATATATATATATATATATATATATATATATATATATATATATATATATATATAAACACACATTGGTATTCTGGGTAAAAAAAAGTTGTAATTATTTAATCATATTATATATTGAGCAACTCAATAATAATGCTCATTCGTGAGTGATTGACACAGTACTCGCTGTAGCAATTAGACCTAAATAAATAGCGAGAAACAATCGCAACATTTGTTTTTATAAGTGTAAAAATAATTGCATGCAAATATCTCATTATGTAAAAATTCAAAATATGTAATGTTAAAACATATATGAAATTTTACAGTTTAACTTTTATTCAAAAATTGCAATGCGGCAATATTTCCTTAATTATGATATCTATCATTTAAAAGCCGATTTATAAAGCTATTCTGTCTTTTGTTTATGATATAATGTCAAAGTAGACTTCTTTATTAATCGAAGTGGTTTGCTCGCTGCGCCTCCGTAGTACAAATTTCTTACATTTATTATTCTTTTTATAAATCTATTCTAATTTTCAAAAATGCAAAAAAAATTAAATAAAACAAAATAAAAACATTGTACTATTTTTGATGTTAAAAAATAACAGTTATCAAGATATTATATGCTATAACAAACAAAAAAGAGAGAGTTTTTAAAAAAGTTTAAACTTTCTATAAACAACAAAATAGCGGTAGAATTTTTTTGCGCTTAAAGACAAAAAAGTGATACATATATTGATAAGTGCTTAGGTATTTAGTTAAGTCTGCGCATTTAACAAACATTTTTTTTTTATATAGGAAAACAAATTTTACATTCAAAATTATATTTTCTTCAAACTAATTAACGGGGACATTGTAAGCTGCAAATGGTAAAATATCGAAACTTATCATGACCCGTATTACATGGGTCGTGCTTAGTATATTCCACATGTTTTTAAGTCTAATTCAAAATAAAAATGTTTATTGCAAGACTTACAGCATCTGTTGTTTTTTAAAGGCGCAACTTTTCTGCCTTGTATATTTTTTTGTATTTTTTATAAAAAAAACTGTTACGTTGTTAAAGGGAGAATATTTAGCTTTACAGCCTTGCTTTAAAAGATGTCGAAACACGCACATTACAACAAATACAAAAATGATGAGATTTTGCATGAGAGCTTAAGAGATTAACGTTAAATTAAAATGAAAATAATCCTAGAAAAAAAAAAACGATTTATTAAAAATATTATAAGGTTTTTCTTCTAAAACCACTACCTTATATAGAAATGTTTTGAAAAAGGCGTTTTTTTTATTTTTAAAAACATAATTCATTATATTAAAAACATAATCCATAGACTACTATAAATTCAGTGCTAAAATTTTATTTTTCAAAAAAAATGTCTGTGAAAAGGTGTATCCAAATTTGGTTTTTATTACAAGTTTTTTCGAATGGTAAAAATTTTTTAAATATTAATATAATAGTTTATAGTATAAATTACGAAAGTTAAAAATTTTGAATTATACATGACAAAAAAATTTCTATTTACTGCAAAGTTTTATTTCTTTATTTTCCCGATTAGTATTTACAATGTAAAAGTAAATGAATAAAAACAGCATTTTGGCGTTTTTTTTCTGCATTTTGGCGTTTGTTTGGCTTGTTTGTTTGTTTGTGAGCAACAAATCTTGCAATCAATTTTTGAGTCACTTCCTGATAATAGATTTTCTTTAAATTTTGCATAAATACTCTTGCTTGATGACAATACAATATTCAATAATTAGTTTTGTAATTAGTCAATTAGTTTAGGTAATTTTAACTAAATTTATTTTTTATATGGAAAATTAATAAAAATTTTATAAATAAATATATTAAAAGTTTTTTTACTTATACGTGCGTTTGGGATATTTGGATGAGGCGTTGACTTCGTAAACGGAAAGTTCGCAACCCGCATTTTCCTTAACTGTTTTGTTTTTTTACATACTCATGCAGCCGAAAGTTAATAAAATAAAACAGTATTATCAGATTAAATTGATTGCAAATTTTGTGTTTGATATAAAAGCATTTAATTTTAAAAATTCGTTTTTAAATTTACTTGTTTAACTTTTATGTTACTCTATTAACGGTAAAATAAATAAAGGAGGGTAAAATAGAAGAAAGATTTTTAAAAAACCACGTTTACTTTTAAATGACGTAAAAAAAATTGTTACAAAAGTTTGAATGACATTATGTTGGATTGGATTTATGCGCGCTAATCACCGTAAAAAAAGTACAAAACTTATAGGTTAAAATTGCATATTCTAACATCTAGTGCAATATCTGTGCGCAAACTCTATGCTATCTTTCTAACTCAACTTCTTCTGACTTTCACTTTAAATCCTTTGCGCTTTTCAAAATCACTTACGGTCTGCGAAGCGGGTTATGATGCTCTTTAGTGAGCTAAACTCGTCCTTGACGACCTTAGTAATGTGGCCTATGTATGACAACTAGCCGAAGGATGATAAGTCACAATACCTACTTACCTTCAGATAAAGTTAATAACAAAGTAACTTAAGCTTTGTTAATCTTTGTTGAACTTTGCATTAAAATAATGCAAAGTTAACAGTAAACAATTTTGTTTACTGTTAACGACAAGTTTGTTTTTGTTTACGAAGTTATTAAAACATAAAAAAACATTTCTATTTAAAAACTTTTATTTATCAATTTGCATGAACAAAATAATAATTAATACAACTTTTCATTGCATTAAAATAAAATTTACTTAATCTTCTATCAATTAATAAAAATAAATTAACAAAAAAAAAAAAAAAAAAAAAAAAAATTATTTTATATTATCACTGTTTAGGAAATTTTGTTTTTATTTTGTTTTTATGCTTTATTTTGTTTTATGTTTTTATTTTGTTATTATGTTTATATTGTAATAATTGATTTTTCGCGCAAATACATCAAACCAATATTATCGGGTTTTTTGATCTTATAGGATATTTGAATCGCTAACTTGATAAAGGGGACATTTTATGTGAATTTTAGCAGGGCATGTCCCCTTTTTCAAGTTAGCGATTCATTTGGTTTCGCAGTAAAGTTGCTGATAAGACAATTTACTTTGTATAATATAAATGAATTAACTAAATTTTTTTACTTATCGCTCGCTAATTGTTGAAAAATAAAAAGTCATTTTTAGTTCCAAAGACGTAATTATAAATTTAATGATACCTGAAAAAAATAATACCTGAAAAAAAAATTAACAAATTTTGATTCATTTATATATTAAGAAAAAAAAGAAACTTGTGTATATCAAACGTTTCAATATTAAAATTATTTATTTTTTATAAAAAAAATTGAAAGAAAATTAACTTTCCATAATGACATATTTAAATTGTTTTTTTTAATTGAGTCAATTTTTAAGACAATTAACTGTTAATAAATAAAGTTAAAAAATTAAATTAATTTTTTTAATTGATAGACTATTTTTTTATTGCTAACTTTTTAAAAATAAAAAGCCATTTTTAGTTGTATATACTCAAATAAAAATTCTCAAAAAAATTAACTTAAAAAAAATAGCCCAGCCAGCATAACTGAGAAAAAGTTACGCTTCGTTTCTGTTGCGTGTTTAAAACCTTCTAAAGAATTCTAAAACCTTCAAAAAGAATAACTAATGCCAAGAATGGTTATTATCCCGTAAAATTACAGGGTTATTCATTCTTATATGCGCGCCCATGGCCTCCTTAAATTATACAGCCTGATTTGTTGCATTTTCTATAAAAAATTAAGAGGCCAGTTTTTTTACGGCTTAAGTATAAAAACTTCATTTTTGTTATGGTTAAGAGTCTTGTTGGCACTATAGTTTCTTTATCTTTATTTTATTCAAATGGTTTAATAGTAGCTAGATTTTCTTTGAGAACTTGCATTATTTTGTGCTAGATTTTTTGTTAACTGATTGCCTGCTTCAGTTTATTCCAATAACAAAGAATACTGAAATAGGCTTTCAGATAGCTTTATTAACACATACCAACATCCTACTAAAAATAATCTTACATATTGCTAAAACTACTCACAATTCTCCATTGGAAATAATTTTAAAGGTTTGTAATTTTGTATTTAATACTATCGCAATTGTTAAGTAAAAACATAAATTTTTCTTTAAAATATTTACACTGCAAAACAAGGTATTCCAATGTAAATACTTTAATATGCTGCATGTCTCAATCATACAGTAATTAAAATGCAACAAATCAGGCCATTTATTTACAGTAGGCAAGAAATATCAGGCATACCAACTGTTTTGGAGTCAATAGCTGTTAATAAATTTCTAATTTTTTTCATTGCCAAATAAATGCTTATCATAATTCTTTATTTAAATGGTTTCGCAGCTGTGAAAATTACAAATTGAAAAACTATAAAATATTAGAAAAGTCATTGACAAAAATTTGGTATCAAGAGATTATTTGCTTCTTGTGGGTAAGATGTACTTCCAAAAAGCAGCCCATTATCGAAGTCGTAAACGATTTTATGAAGATTGAGAAAATAATCTTTTAAAAGAAGTTTTTAAAGAAGTTTTTTGTTTGTATGATTGTAGGGCTTCAAAAATTTATTCTTATGTTTTGAAATCCTCACCTAAAGTTTACATAACTGGTTTATGTTTTTCTTCTTGTTGAAGTTACTGCTGATTACATTACAGGGAATATATTTCTTAATGTTTATTAAAAAATCAATTATTAAACAGGCAAAAAAAGCAATAAAAATTAATTATCAAGTCACGTATTTTGGAAACAACAAACAAGTTGTCAACATTGACAATATTTGACGAAACAACTGCAGCTGTAATTTAGAGTTATTTTTCCGAAAGAAATAACGCAGCACAGCTTTTATCATTGTTTTATAAGTTATTTATCGTACTTAATTCAAAGCAGAAACTTAATTCATCCAATCAAACTCAGCAATGCTGCTTTGAAAGGTGATAATAAACCCACACTTTATAAAGAAATTGCAAATTGTACTGAAATTTGATCAAATTAAAATTTGATAAATACTTTACATTAACCAAACAAACTTCTTGTGCTCTAATTACAACACTACAACACTACTCTTATGCATGATTACCTTGAAGAAGGCTTTACATTTGTTTATAATTCCAATTTACAAATTGATCCTTTAAAGCTAGGTTTTAGTAAGTATACTTAAATGACCGGTAATAGTTGACTTTTTGTGAGTCTTTTAGAAATATGCATTAGTAAAAAGATTTTGGCAGATTTTCCGAGAAAATATTTATCAGAATATTGATAATCCTTAAAAAATATTATGCAAAATATTTCTTAGTTGTCTACATAAATACTACTGTCAACTTTCTGAAAATAGCACAGATATATATACTAAAGCAAGTAATAATGGTAAAAATTAACAAAAAGATTTCAATGTAAAACTTATGATCAATAAACATTACTTTATAAAGAGAAGAACCTATATATTCAATTCAATCTCTGTCTATTTTTTTTTGTCAACTTTTCAGTATTTTATGTTATTTCTCTAATAAAACATTGCAGTCATTCTTTTTCAATTAAAAATTTGTGAAACAAATTTTAAAGATTTTATCTATCAGTATTAATTTTACAAATAAAAATCACCAAAAATGGGGAATCAAATATAGATTTCGTATTGTTAGCATTATTTTTTATAATAAAAAAAAACATATTCATTGAGAAAAGATCAAGTAAAAGAATTCCAAAGTAGACAAAAATAAAATAAACATTTCTAACAAAAATTTTCTCTTTTAATTTCAATTATAAAAAATACAAAAGTGCAAACCTTTTTTTTGTTCAATAGAGAGTTTTAGGCAATCTTAGCAACATGAAAGATTATTTTTAGTAGCATGTTGGTATGCGTTGATATAGTTATCTGAAAGCCTATTTCAGTATTCTGTTTTGTTGGAATAAAATGAAGCAGGTAATCAGTTAACAAAAAATCCAGCACAAAATAATGTAAGTACTCAAAGAAAATCTAACTATTATTTAACCATTTTAATAAAATAAAAATAAAACAATTAAAGTGCAAACAAGAGTCTTAACCATAACAAAAATGAAGTTTTTATACTTGAGCCGTAAAAAATACTGGCCTCTCCATTTTTTACGGAAAATGCAACAAATCAGGCCGTGTAATTCAAGTAAGCCATGGCGCGTCTATTGATTTCATACGTATCTATTCATTTTTATATGCGTATTTATTCATTCTTATATGCGTGTTTATACATTCTTATACGCGCGTTTATATACAAGTCAACTACCCATAAAATTTATGATATAAATTTATGTAAACGAAAAATAGGCTTTTATGCTTTTATATAGATATATTTAAAATATAAATTAAGTTGTTGCCACTGCTATTTATTAAAAAAATGGTTAACCCATCTGTATTTTGAGGCCTTTTTCCCTATTAGTAAGTATGCTTTATTAAAAAAAAAATTCCTCTATTGGATTAGTCTGTGACATGTATGCTGGCAGATAATTAACAGCTACGCTATGAGAAGCTAGTGTTTGCTTAACAGAAAGACAGTAGAATATACGATTGTCCATTTCAAGCATCGACGCTTTCACATCTGCATTCCTAATGGCTGGTGCCAGCATTCTAGTAATAAAATTGAAAAATAAATCTGTATTCCCTCCTCCAGTTTTTATTTTATAAACCAGCACTCCGATTGCTGAAACAGCACAAATCAAATATCGTTCTTGCAACGGTTTGCAGACGACTGAAAAATTGCTGACGCACCACATAGCGAGTAACCATATGTGCTGCCAATGTGCACATAAAATCCAATTTCATCCATAAATATTCATTAATAAATATATTTTTTCATTTGAAATTCCGTTAATTTTGTTTTCAAATTATGAAATGTTTTTACTTAATATCTTATTTTACGGAAATATCTGAAGAAAATCCAGATACTCTTATCAAGTTAATGAAACAGTCTATTTCATTAAACACTTTTATATGCCCACATAAAGTAGATATTTGCTATATTTACTATCTAAGATTACAAACTTAATACCACACTTTTATATATGTAGGTTTATTAGTGTGTTTGTGCATAAAGGCACTTCATGCATAGCGTGCATCAAAAACTCTTGTTGAGTTACGTTCTTCTAGCACATAAACAACACGCTTTTTTCATAAATCTGAGCGTTTGAGTTTTCTTGAAATAGTACGCTAAGACATATTGAAGCCTGCTTCAGAAAGATTGTTTTTATTGTTTCTTGCATACAAAGATTGTTTCCTTGTTCACAAAATTCAATGTTTTTTATTTGAGCGTCTTTTACCTCATTTTTTATCAGAAAACGACTTAAATGCAGTGATGTCGTCGAATTCTCCTCTGTTTATCTTAACAACAAGATTTCAAACAGTACGCTTAGATAAACTAAGACAAGTGGAAATGCTTGTTGTAAATTCCTTTTTTTCAACAAAATGCTTTAGCATTTTAATGTTCTCTTTTGTAACGTTTTTCCTTCTTTTTCAATTGGCACTGCTATTTTCTCTTTCATCCATAGGATAAATATGTGTATTTATAATAATTATAGATAACTAGCAAAAAGTAACCCGTAATACGGGTTATGGTTGGTCTGTTACATAATTAATTTATAGTGGGTTTATTTCGCAATTTAAAGTTGCGAATTCTTAACTAATACCCTTTTAAAAAAACGGTTTTAAATTGAAAAAATTATTCTATCGGTAAAATTAACATAAAAAGTATGAGGAGGTAAAACAGTTTACCAATTACTAAAAACACATTATTGAAGTAATTTACAACTGACATAGGTCATATCAGTTTAAGCCAGAACCATTTTTATCGAAATTCCTAATTTTAACACAAAATAATAACACTTCACCATTCTTCAAATTGAGGTAAATGTCAAATAAACTCTTATATTATATTTATAACATGAACTTTATTTAATTATTAAGATTAACATGAAGTTAACTTATATAATACAGGAGTTATTAACTTTTGGTATCCCCTCGATAAATTTTTCTCTAGAAAAGAAAATGTAATCTTAAAAACGTTAAATGCACACAACTAATTAAATTTATTATAAATAACTAAGTTTATTATAAATAACCAAGCAATTAAGTACAAATACGTTTCAAAAAAATAATAATAATAACTTAGAATCAAACATGTGTAGAAAAATTTTTATAAAAAAGTTAACTTTGATTTTTTATATTGCATCATACGACAAACCTAAAATAAATAATAAAACAGATAAGTAGGCATAAAAAAAAGTAAGCATAAAAAAGAAAAAAACAAACAAAATGGAAACAATTTACCTGCTTTTGGTAACCTGTTGTCATACTTCAGCTACCTTCATGATACAGCAGTTCTTGTCAGTGTTGTTTAATGGCGTTATTTATTGTTAGCTTTTAGTAAACTTTATTTTAATTTAGAAGACATCACAATAGATTTAGAAAATTTAAAATGTTAAATGGTTCAAGGAACCAAACTATAATCATTTAAGAAAAAAAATCAAATTGAGTTATAAATAATTGCATTTATATAGGTAAATATGTCTTGGCTTATAGTAAATTTTAAAAGCAGCAAGTGCAATAATTTTTTTTTAGCGATTAAATGTAGCATCATTACCCAGTGGACAACGGACCTAAAAAAGACGTCTTTTGAACGTTCAAAAGACGTCCAAAGCATTTAAAAGACGTTCAAAAGACGTCTAATGACATGTATAAGACTTTTAAAAGACGTCTTTTTTATGTCCGTGTCCACTGGGTATACTATGATAATTGGATAATGAATCAATTTAACTGTATTTAAGTATAATTTATAAAAAAACAATTAAAATTGTAAATAAAAAAGACCAAAATAAAAATCAAATATACAACCTAATATATCATTTAAAAAAATTACAAATTAAGAACAAAAAAATTACAAATTAAAATAAAAATTTTAATATAAAATAAAAAAATTACAAAAATAAAAATCACCGATAAAAAAGCGGCAACAAAAAAGTTATAAATGTCATAGTTGATAGAAATTATTTATAATCATTTTGTTACTGTTTGTTCTTCGGTGTCTCCCAACATCCCTGTATGGATGAGCCCTCCATTTGAAGGACGATTCATCCATACCGCCATTTGTACACCACTTAATGAAGAACCACTCTGGCCCTGGGTGTTAAGAGCAATATTTTTTGTAATGCTCAAATGTTAACTGATTTAAAATAACAAATAAAAGAATATAATAAAAATTATAAATACTTGGAATTTTATTTAATCAAAATATAAAGCATAACCTGGCCATTTTCAATGGTAACACAAGACGATGTATAAAACATTAAAAAAAATAATTAGTAAATTAAAAAAAGATAGACATGTACAAAATTTTATTTTAATAAAAATATAAGTAAAACGGGAACAGTTAAAAAATGTCACATTTATTAAAAATTAAAAATATTTGCTACTTTATTTAATATAAATATAATCCATAACCTCACCATTTTCATTGGTAACAAAAAACAATGCTTAAACATTAAAAAAAAGAGTAAATTAGAAAGGGTTAAACGTGAAAATTTTTATTTTAATAAAAATATAAGTAAAACGGGAACAGTTAGAAAATGTCATTTTAATTAATTCTTTCACATATTTTTCCATTCAAAATATATCAAATGCAAAACACAGTCCTACCAGTTATGCCTCTATCAGACACTATAGACAAAAAAATATACCTCATAATAATCGATAAAATAATATTTACATATAAATAACGTTAACATAAATATATTTATAATTATAACTTTTTACCTATTTCCCTCATTTCCTCCATAAAGTTGTCTAAGGTAAGAAAAAAGATAAATGAAGCTAAAACTAACTAAAAATAACTATAAACTAATTCAAAACTATAAACTAAAATAAACTTTATAAATCTTAATATAAATGTCTTATTTATTTAACTATACTAACCATATAATTTATACTTAGTTTTTGTTCTAATTCTCCTAGAAGAAAAAGAAAATAAAGCTAAAGTACTTGAAGTTTTAAAATTTCAGTCACAGTACAAATAAACAAATTCCTATTAACAATTATCTATTAGCAAAAACACTGACTTATCTCACTCTTCAACTCTGTGTCTAAACAATTAAACCACTTAAATGTATAGACGTTAAATATCTACCGAGTTTTTTTTAAATAAATTCACCTAACTAATGTGACTAATACCTTCATTAGCTCTCTCTTTATTAACTAAAGAAAAAAAATCCGCACATATTATATTATCGATATTCTGTGATGTTTCAAGTTTTTGGCTAAATGAAGTAAAATGTGGGCATGCGGCAAACCACGCTTTTGAAACTCAATAACTTGAACATGCGTTACAACTTTGCCTTATACACCATGTTTAAATATATTATTGAGGAGGTTATTTAACTTGAGTTTAATACTCAAGTAACCAAATGAGGTCTATTAATTGCAGTCTGACCCGGATATAAATTATTTAACGCCATTTTGAGTTGCAAATAAAAGAATAAAATGATCTGGTTTATCATACTTTTTAAAAAATGCCGTTGCATCTTCAAAGATTTCAATTAAAGCTCTAAGACTTCCTACATAAGATCATATAAAAACTACTACTCGCCCTGGTCTAATATTAAGATCGTTGACAATCTTGTTAACATGTTCATGTAAGGCATCATACCCCAGACAGCAAGCTTACATTGAACCAACGTTGGGCCAATGCATGATGATGCATTGGCCCAACGTTAAAAGTCGATGTTGGCCCAATACAGGTTTGATCATTGGTAAGGTATTAATAAGATGATTTGCATCGCTACATTGAAAATTTATAGAGAAAAAAAAGAATGTATGATACAATTATAAAAATTTATTTATTTAACATAATTTATCGGTTAAATATACATATTGCAAACACCAAACTTAAACCAAAAACTGACACATTGAGTTTTAAATAAAAAAAATTCACTATAAAATTTATAGAGTAGCTTCGATATTGGCTGAGCTACTTGTTATTGAATATTGTTTAGCTTATGATATTTGGTGCCCACGATTATCATTTTTTCTTCCTCTATCTCTATAGCATGTCTGCATAAGCCATGCTTATTTGACTTCACAGTTTCTGCAAAAAAATAGTTGTTTGTTTAATTATGCACCAAAGAAACATATCAAATTTAAAGTTTGTAATGCAAAATTGAAACTGAAAAATTAAACTTTTCTAAACCACTTACCAATAGCAGCATATGCAATCAACATTTTTTCTATTGCAATTTTTTGTCCTCTCCCTGCATAGTTTAATTTTACAACTAGGCCATTTTAAAAAACTATTCTTAGCAAATAAAATATACAATCTCCTTTATCTTTAACTCCGATTTGTGCCAAATAATTGACCTGCAAAAATACACAACCTGGCAATAATTAAAGTAACTTTTGTTTAGACTTAAACTAATATAAAATGTAATTTACAAAAAATCTTCAAATAGTATTTTATTTAAAGTATATAAATTGTACTAAGATATTATACAAAATGCATAAAAAAATTATAAAAAAATATTTACTATTTATTTACGTATTTTCTTTTCTTCCAGAGTACTTGAATTCTTTACTGCTTTTAATAGCAATGACACTCTTTCAGGCAATACAATAACTAGCATACCTTCAGGGTTACTGAAGTTTTGCTAATTTATATAACTTAATTTGATGTGTTTTGTATTTTACCAAGTTGTACTTCAATGACGACTAAGAATGAACACTAAAAAAAACATAAGTTTCAGAAAAAATAAATAGTAAGCACCAAAAAAAATATTAAAGCTTAATTGAGTGTTGGATTTTGAAAATGTGACAAGTCACAAAATTTAAATTTTACAAGGGAGTAAAAAATATTTCTCCTGTAAGAAATTTTATTTTTATTTTTTCTAAAGATTGTTTCTTTTCTCTAAAAAAATCTTTACTTTATCTAAAATAATCTTTATTTTATCTAAAAAATCTTTATTTTATCTTAATATTCTTTTATTTTAAGTGAGGTTATTTGAGGTTATTTATCTAAAATAATCTTTATTTTATCTAAAAAATCTTTGTTTTATCTTAATATTCTTGTATTTTAAGTGAGGTTATTTGAAAGAATATTTTCAAAAAAATATTCTAAAAAATATTTCTCCTGTAAGAAATTTTATTTTTATTTTTTCTAAAGATTGTTTCTTTTCTCTAAAAAAATCTTTACTTTATCTAAAATAATCTTTATTTTATCTAAAAAATCTTTATTTTATCTTAATATTCTTTTATTTTAAGTGAGGTTATTTGAGGTTATTTATCTAAAATAATCTTTATTTTATCTAAAAAATCTTTATTTTATCTTAATATTCTTTTATTTTAAGTGAGGTTATTTGAAAGAATATTTTCAAAAAAATATTCTTTTCAAATAACCTCACTTTTAAAAAAAGTGTGACTCATAACGTTTTCAAAATACAGCGTTCATTTGTGAAACAAGTAACTTCTTAATTAGAATTACTGATTTTTCCATGATCTAAAGAAAAAATAATTTACTGACTTTTCCAGGTTTTCCACGACTTTAGCCAATATTAACAAATTTTCCAGATTTTCAAGGTACAGTGCGGACCTTATCCAATGTTTGTAAATAATTTTTTTTACATATTTTAGTTCTGAATTTTAATAACACTATTTTTAAAAACAACATCATCTATAAAAATATTGTATTACCTTCGTCTATTAGATGAATTTAAATAAACGTTTATATAATGAATAATAATGAATCACCAACAACTGTTAAAACTTTAAACTGATATAAATACTGATATAAATACAAATACTGTTGTTTTTTTCAACATTTGATTTCAAATGGTTTTCAATTGGTGACACCAACTTTGAAATCCAACAAAAATTTTTTGTTACGTTTATAAACTTAAATGTTCTCAAAACAACTAAAAAAACCTGGCCAGTTTTTCGCAACTAAATATATTTTCTGTGGTCAGTATTCGAGAGCAATATATGAAAAATTTTTTAAAATTGTAAAAGTTAAAGCTATGAAAAAAGATTTTCAATCATTAGACACTTACCAATTAATAATTTTGTTCATTCAGAGCAAACATTAAACTTCTGTAAAGATTTTGGAGTTAAAGGTAAATCCCAAAGTTTAATAATATTTTTTGTTTTATTATAAGAAAATGAGGTCATCTACACCAAGATATACACAATTTTTCGTCTCTTCAATCTTTATTTTGACTGTTCATTTTCGCTGTCTTGTATTGCTTTAAAAATCTATAAATCAAATCATTATTAATTAAGTTATAACTAAAGTTAATGTAATATAATAGTGTAATAATAATAAAAGCCTAAAGTTGTTAACTGTAGTACGCAAACTAAATATGGAAAATATCCAGAGATATTAAATTAAAAAATAATTAAACCAAGAATAATGTCCCTCTGCCTCGTAAAGATGGAATATTAGAAAGCTCTACATAAGTAGAATATAAGTTCTAGTAACATCACATTTTGTACACTGTTTTAATATGTTAGTAGATGGAGTTTCACAATCAAACTCAAAAAAAATCAAACAAAAGAGACATATTTAAAATGTAAAATATCAGCTTCTAACAACATCAATGCCACATATATATTATTGATACCTTTAATAGTATATCTTATAATAGCTATATAATCTAAACTATTATAAATAATGAAAAAAAAAATTATACTGTATGACATTTTAAATGTTTGATTTATTTAATAAAGAAGACATTTAAAATATCTCCTTAATTAAATAAATCGAACATTTGAAATGGTTCATTTATTTATAATTAATAATAAAAATTTTTATAAAATAATAATAAAATTTAATAAATTAAATTTAATAAAGATTATTAAATAAAACAAACATTTGAAATGCCAATACAGCAATAAAAATAAAAAAATAACTTTAAGATCTTACAAAAAAATAATTTGATTATTGCCTTTATTAATACATTAATAATTTAGATTGTAGTAAAAAATGTTTTAAGCCTATTATTTAAATGTTAACTAATATTTCATTTAAAAAAACAAAACATTAAGTCACGAGAATCTCTTGAAGTTTATTTCATATAAGAAACCTTTTAAGATTCTTAAAAGATTAATAAATATAGCTTCTTTTTTTTATTTTTATAATTTAATTAATTGGAAAGATATATAATAGTATCAAAACCTTTTTTTGTTCTGTCAAACGATACTATTTTTAAAAAATGTTTCGAAACAATTTAAAAGTATATACTAATCCGCAACTACATTGGCCGAATATTGGCTACGGTAAAAAGTAAAAACAGATTTTTATGGCAAAATATTAAGCCTAAACTACATTGGCCAAATATTGGCCCAACGTAGTACGATAATTGCACAAAACCGATTTGTAGAATTGCAATATTACGCCGAAAAAAAAAACATTGGCTAAATGTTGGCCCAATATAGTACGATATTTGCAAAAAACAGGTTTGTAGAATTGAAAAAAATTCGCCGAAAAAAACATTGTTTGCCCAACGGAATAAACTTGCCAATGTTAAAACTTACATTGGGCCAATGTAAGCTTGCTGTCTGGGACTGATCGCTTCCTATTTTTTTTTTATTATTTCTGATAAAAACTAGACGCTGGCCTTCAATTTTAACATATGCATCTACAGCATATTGCTGACATAAAGTTTCTTGCCATAAAATAATGAACAGAATATGATGAATAAAACATGGAGGCCCATGATTTATTGGTTGAAGTACATCTGCTTTAAAAAAAGCGAAAGAAAGACAGGCATAATAATTTCAAATATGTTTTAAAAAATTGACATTAGCGTTACAATCTACATAACTCCTATAATTAATATATATATATATATATATATAATTAATATATATATATATATATAATTAATATATATATATATATATAATATATATATATATATATATATATATATATATATATATATATATATATATATATATATATATATATATATATATATATATATATATATATATATATATATATATATATATATATATATATATATATATATATATATATATATATATATATATATATATATAGTCACAAAGTTTTACCTATAAACTGTTGTTTAAAGAGCGCGTTAATAAGCATGACCAGAAAATGTTAAAAAACTTAAATTTTCTTTTTTTTTTTTTTAATAATGATATACTGCCTGCCCAAACCAAATCCTCAGTCGATGTCGCAGCACTCCCTTGCGAGTCAGGCTTGCAATACGATTAGAGCAAATATTTTTGAAACGTCGCCTTTTTTTAATTAAAAAAAAAAATTAAGCGACATTTTTTAATATAAAGTAGCAACTTACTATTAATGATTTTTCCATAAGTAAAAAAATGTTCTTCAATTTATTAAAGAGTATATATAATTTTATTTATATACTTATGTCTTATTTCCAGTGCTGGATTGAGGAAGTATGGTTGGGAGGGGGGGGGGGGAGGTAGAAGGGCTATAGCCCCGGGACTCACAATGTTAGGGGCCGCAAAGTAGTCGAGAGAACCATTCGGTATTTGTTTTAGTCATATTTACGCTATGGCACATAAAAAAGGCAACCAAAACAATGCAGCCCTTGGCCCTGAAAAGTCCAACAAGATTCAACCAATAAAACTAACGCTAGATCATTTATTTATGAATAAAAAAGTTTTTTTAATAACTATTTTACGCTTCGCGTAATTTGAAAAATTTTAACACATTTGAAGCAATTCTTCTTAGTAAGATGAATTAATTAAATCATTGCGTTACTGTAGAAATTTGATTAGCTAGAAATTAACTAAAAACTTTGAATTACTTTGTAAGGAGGAAGCGGAACTGCTTCACAATACCGCTGATAATGTTTAGTGAGTGGGCTTTATAATTTTAATTAGTACTTAAAACAGAAAAAAGTAACTTTAAGTTTAAGTATAACGAGTTTGTAAGAATGGCTTAAGCAAAAATAATTGAAGTTAGTAAACCAATTTCTAAGAACATAAAAACTTTTCTTTCTTGGGGAAAAGAATCAGTTATCGGTATACTGAGGAAAATGGATTAGTGTTTAAAATTATTTGTATTAACTTGGATGATTATTAATAATTTCATTGAAAACGCAGTTATTATTGAAAGTATTTTTGTTTACAAAATCACTAATTTATAAAAGCACTAATTGCTGTAAAAGATTACATTTAAATAAAATATACATACATAAAATTACATGCATAAAAAATACATACTTAAAATACATTACATTTATAAAAATACGTTACGTACATAAAAAATACATATCTTTTATATTAAAAATAAGAATATACTAATAAAATAAATATGTTTACAAAACGTTGACAAGTTAAGAAATATATATTTAAAACATTTACTTTTGTAAACAATATATGTTAGTTTAAAACATTTATAGCTTTGTAATTGTGGCTGCGAGAAGTAAAGTAATAGTACGTTTGATAGTATATCCTTAAAACTCTCAACAAAATCATAATTTGAAATCTCAACAAAACTCAAATAATAGAAATTTTTTAAATATTTTAACAGAATACTCTAAAACATTCGGTTAGTATTTTTGGAATACTCTAGAAAATTCAGTAATATTTTTGAACCAATAGAATTAGTTGTTTATAGATTTGGCGGGTTTTTGTGTTTGCGAGTATTTTTTATTTTATTTTTCCACACAAAGATGTTTGAGAACATTTGAGTTTTTGTATGTTTCCATGTATTTCCGTAAAATAAAATATTTTAC